AAACGTGCACAGCGCCCCCTACCAAACAAGATGGGCAGCCCGGTCAGCAAGGACCTGAGGAAGAGCGGCTGCCGACGTCACTATGCTGCGCCCGCCACTCACAATGCTTTTACGTTTTCGAGTTATGGACAGTATTTTGCTGGCAGACCACGAAAACGAAAAAGCAATATCCGCTGTGTTTTCTCTTTGATGAAGGCATAAAATTTGCAATCTTAAAGAAGAAAATGCAAATGCAAATAGAATGTTTGATTACTAATTTCATTTATGAGTCAAATAATTTAGCCACATTCTTAAAATGAAAAAGCATTTCTGAAAATGCTTTTTCATTTTCAAATTTTACATTTCAAATTGAATTTTGGTATGTATTTGCTGGGGTACATTTTGAAAAAGAAATCTCCAATGTCTTTTTCTTTTTCATTTTAATTAAGTAAAAGGACTAGCAGTCTTGAAGAAGAAAATTAAAATGCAAANTGTATATGGAAGCAAATCGTTACCATATTTCAAATGAAAATGCATTTTCAGAAATGCTTTTTTATTTCTGAAAAGACATCAGACATTTGAGATTTCTTTTTTCAAAATGTACCCCAGCAAATACATACCAAAATTCAATTTGAAATGTAAAATTCGAAAATGAAAAAGCATTCCCAGAAATGCTTTTTCATTTTAAGAATGTGGCTAAATTATTTGACTCATAAATGAAATTAGTATTCAATCATCCTATTTGCATTTGAATTTTCTTCTTTAAGACAGCACATTTTATGCCATAATCAAAGAGGAAACACAGCGGACATTGCTTTTTCGTGGTCCGCTTACAATGTAATGCAATGCAAACGTGCACAGCGCCCCCTACCAAACAAGATGGGCAGCCCGGTCAGCAAGGACCTGAGGAAGAGCGGCTGCCAACGTCACTCTGATGCGCCCGCCACTCCCAATGCTTTTACGTTTTCGAGTTATGGACAGTATTTTGCTGGCAGACCACGAAAACTAAAAAGCAATGTCCGCTGTGTTTTCTCTTTGATTAAGGCATAAAATGTGCAATCTTAAAGAAGAAAATGCAAATAGAATGTTTGATTACTAATTTCATTTATGATTCAAATAATGCAGCCACATTCTTAAAATGAAAACACATTTCTGGAAATGCGTTTTCATTTTACATTTCAAATTGAATTTTGGTATGTATTTGCTGGGTTACATTTTGAAAAAGAAATCTCCAATGTCTTTTTCTTTTTCATTTTAATTAAGTAAAAGGACTAGCAGTCTTGAAGAAGAAAATTAAAATGCAAATAGGATAATTGATTACTAATTTTATTTATAAATCAAGTAATGCAACCACATTCTTAAAATGAAAAAGGATTTCTGGAAATGCTTTTTCATTTTCAAATTTTGAATTTTGGTACGAATTTGCTGGGGTACATTTTGAATGCTTTTTCATATGAAATATGGTAATGATTTGCTTCCATACATGTAAAGTGTGTTAATTTACATTAAAACTAAGTTAAAAGCATGATTTTTATCTGTGACGCACATAGACAGAAGCTCAAACATCAGCCCACAGGTCTCTCTACTCACCTGGGGCAATCTTCAGGTATGTTTTACCATCTGCTGATGATGTGAAGAACCGATCTGTGCTCACAGGATCTGAACGCAAAGCAGATCATAGAAATTCCATTTATATAAAATCATGTTTCCATAATGTGGGTCATTTAAAGGGGGATGAAGCCTCAGATAGATTATAAGCTTTAGAGGGAATAGATAGATGTGTGTGGTCATGAGTGGAGTGGTCGGAGTGCTCACACAGCAGAACGGAGGGAGCTGAGGTGTTGGCCTGCAGCTCCGTGTCAGTCAGCTCCTCCGCAGTCTGTTGCACTCCTCCTCCTCCCGCTCTGCATGCGGCATCTCCGCAGGGCGCAGGCGGCTCCTGCCTGCCCAAACCCAGCGCAGATGAGCGTTCATCTCCGGCTTCGGTTTTCACATGCATCGCTGGGACGTCACCTCCGTGCAGGTTCGCCTCCATGGCTGCTGCCGCTGCAAATGAAATAAATTCTGCGCGCGTTTTGTCTGCGCAGGCGTTTGACGTGGGGAGAAAGTTTGGAGATGAAGGCTGGAGATCAGTGGAGCCGGCTGAAAGCCGAAGTCACGCGGCCAGGGCGTTTGGCTCCCGCGCTGCCCGCCTAGCTGCACGCGCGGCGGGGCAGTGTTGCTCTGTGCCTCCTTGGTTTTCTTTCTCTAGGTAGAGAAATGGCTGCGCCATTCACATCAGCTCAGCTGGCGGATGCGCAGGGCGGCTGCGCAGCTGACACAGATTTGCTGCTGGGAAGCGGTGACGTCAGTTTGCCGCACGGCACGTGGCTAACAAACGGCAGAAATAAGAAAAGGAAACCACTATTTTGCTTCTTTATAAGGTTTAACAAACTTAGAGACAATTATGGACTCTGATAATAAACAGGCTATAAGAACTAAATTCTTTCATTGCACACAAACTGTTATTCGAAATCGAATCAGTTTCTTTTTTTAATCATCTTATTTTTTCCCCAATTAGTACAAATATAATTGGCTTATTTTATGTGCATGAGTGATAAATTACATCTTAAATTCAGTTATATATTTTTTATCATTTTTTTAATACAATTAATACAAAGACTTAGAAAAAAAAGTGAACTGCAGCTTCAAAATAAAGTTATTATGCATCCACTAATTGGAAGCAAACATTTGTGGGTACTTCTAGATCAGCAAAAAATTATTTTGTTTTAGTTTTCTCACTTCAACTTACAATAACATGTAGATGCAAAACTATAATTTGTTGATATATTTCAAGTATTTTTGACAGGTTATCTGGATTTTGAGGGTTTACAGCTTAATTCAACCCTGAGAAAATTAGAAGGTGATATTACACAAATTCAAGAGATATCTAATTCTGAAATATGGGTTGTTCTGCCCTACAAAATTGTTTGGAAGCCCCTGCTGCAGTTAAGATACAACCAAAAATAAGAAAGTGAAATGAAAGGAAAATAGTGAGATAATAGTAGGTTTCAATTAAAACAGTTTGTGTTTCCATAGAATCTTAGCAGAGCAACAGGCAAAATACCTCACTTCCATCCATTCGTTAATGCAAAGATGAGCCCTGAGTATTAAGTGCATACAACATGTACTGCTGGCCGAGGAAAAGTGTAGAATTGAGGAATAAATTCAGAAACATTGAAAAGGTTTATTTTAGAAAAATCAATAAGGCATCCACACAGAGTCTGTGTTAAGGAATAACATTACAGGCATCTCAAATTTAGGGAAAATGCAAAGGCATATTGTAAACACAATTTTCACTGAAGCATAAAACATTTACAAAGACAAAAAAAATTGAACAGGTTTAAATAAAATAAAAACTTGGATAAAGCTCCATTTCTGCCTTAAAAAAAGAAAGAAACATTTCTGCCTTGATTCATTCCACAAACAGACATAAAACTAGTGTTTGTGGACAACTTTGAGCTTGGTGCTGCTTTTACAGTTAGTTATGAGGGTAGCTCTTCCTCCTAGCATTTAACGGTTCTATTATTGAAGCGAATGACAAATAAAGGGAAAAATATTTTAGGTAATTTAAGCAGAAAATAGCTTTAGATACAGAAAAGCTCAAAACTGACTGCTGTTGGTATCACATTTATATTAGTTTTACTGGACATCAACGGTATATGCCTCTCTGACTGAAAACTCAAGAATTGCGTCTTGTTTTGCTCTTTGTCGATGTTTTAAATGCGTTTTATCAACATTTAACCATTTTAAATACAACCTACTCTCGCAAAGAGAGCATGCGAGAATTACAGAGATGTACATATGGATGAAAATCTAGCTTTAACCTGTGTGAGCTGAATGTGGGAGGAGTTGTTGCTTGAGGTGTCTGGCTGTAGGCATTGTTGTGGACTCATGCAACAGAAGTAGCCTCAAGGCTGTTGCAGAATTTAGCATTTGTAAATAAATACTAAAATCAAGTATAACGTAGTTGTTGAAACACTTTGAAACCTTTATAAAAAAAAATTCTTAGGCCTTTTTTTTGTAAAGGTTACTTCACCTTCTTCTATACTCAGAAACAGCTGCTACATTATCCATCCTACAAGAAACCGTTAAAAAAAAAGTTGTGAAGTTTAGCTTTTTCTGGTCTTCTGTTAAAAAGAATATTACAGGTATTAAAGTCTATTGCCAGAATTAAACAAAACAAACAAAGAAAAAAAACATAACTACCAGAGTTTTTCTTATTAGTCTTACTTTTATTTATTTACTTAATAAATATTAAAGTTGACTATTAAGATCAATCTGCTAAATCATATGAAACACCCATTATTAAACTGGATCATGTATCCATGTAGGCCTAATAGCTGTTCTTATAATATTGTTGCACCCTGGAGGTATTTCTTTGTGGATCTGTTGGCTACATGAGAGAAATGGCAGAGCCAGCTGCCGTTCCCACTGAGCCCACTGGATGTTTGGAAGTGTGTGGCTAATAACGGTACTTTATGCTTTTCCCTGAGGGGTCCACTGGTCCCCATATCCTGGACCCTAGGGCTTAGATGCTTAGATTAACCTTTATTTTTTTTTATAGTCATCTACTCTGTTGATTATTTGGTCAACTAAGCACATCGGTTCCTTGTAAAAATATTTTTGACACTCCAGTCTTAGTTTATTCACTTATGACTCCTTTCTTTGCCTCATGTTGCCCCTATCTTTGACTTATAAATTAAAATCCATGAAATGTTAATTTGTAATGTAACATGCCTTAATTTAACTTTAAAAGGCTTTAAAAGAAACGTTTGTACTAATAAAATATAAAAAAAAAATTTATTTGAAATAGATCTTTTGAAATTTGAGCTTTTAAAAATAAGAAATGTTTACTAGGATATTAAGGATATGTTAAAAAGGAAGTATATTGATATGTTTAAGGTCAGGCTTGCTTACTCTTATGAGGAAATCTTTCCAACATCAAGAATAAAGATGATTGACTTTTTTGTTTTCCACATTTACTCTTCCTCTCTTCAGTTACATATTAAATCTCTATTGATCCCAAAAATGCCAAAAATGGAATTTTCAGTGCAGTCTAAGGGTGGAATGCAGCATCTTACGCCTTGCTGCCATCAGTGGTGCTGCCACTTATTTTTTTGTATTAAAGTTAGCTTTTCGTTTATGTAGCTTCACAAATCTTCTAAGAACTATAAACAGTGAAATAAGGCAAACAAGAACCATTGGAGATCCTCTTAATGGCTACAGCTTCGTTAAACGTGCACTCTGTGTTAAAAGGTCAGTGTTTCCCAAACCAACTCTGCCAGGAGGAAGCCTTACTCTCTAGGGCAGCGATTCCCAACCAGGGGTACACATACCCCTAGTGGTCTGGGAGTGCATTGCAAGGGGTACATGAAAATATTTTATTTCTTAGGTAGTAACATAAAATAGGGCTGGGATCTGTTTTGCTTTCTGAGGACCCAACCGAAAAATTAAACAAGGTTTTATTGAACCAAAAAGTACGTTTTTCTTATATGTTTGAGTTCACCTTCAGCTGTGACACATCAAAACCAAGCAGAGGAACAGGCTGGATGTAGAGAACAGCCTGGGATCAGCTGTTTTTCACACTGAGCTTTCGGAGCTCATCAAAGCAGCTCAGGTATCTTGATGAAAACAAATGAAAACTAATTAAGTCAGTCTGACTATAAACTTGGCTCTATATTTTGTTCCCAATTCATCTGGTTTTTATGGCACTAGTGGCTCATTTTTATGGACAGTAGGCTGACGGTAAAGGGGGAGAGACATGCGCCAAAGGACCACAGGCTGGATTCGAACCCGGGTCAGCCGTGTCGAGGACTAAGGCCTCCGTACAACGGTCGTGTGCGCTTAACCACTGTGTGTTTAAATGTGATCATAAGGGAGTTACTCAGTTATTTTTCATGCCTTAACAACTTCCAGGGAACTTTATTTTATTTGAGACGGAAAGAATAAAATGCCTAAGAATTAATTCTCAAATTAAAAGATTAAGTAAAATAGTTTTTATTTTATAATCATAATAAGGTTGGGAAACGCTTCCCCAGGGACAGAGAGTTTGAAAACCAAGCAGATATTCCAGTTATAATAAGCTTAATTTTCACCTAAGATTATTCTAAAATATTATTTTGAAACATCTTGCAGTCATCATTACTGCTTTGGGTATGGAGTTATTTTTGTGTTTTTATTTAATTCATGAAAAAGTGATCTGAAAGGGGAGATTTATATATTTAATATAAGTAATATATTTGTTTTAAAAGTAAAATAAATATTGGGAGAGCAAAAACAGATGCTAATTGAGACTGAACAAAAGCTGGCCAATAAGAACACAGACAGAGTAGGGAACTCCGCCCTCTGCTGCAGCTTTTGTACACTGCATGCGATTTAAACTTCATACCACTGAATATGAAACACTGAGTGATGTGCTAATGTTTATACTTTTTATGCTTAAATATATTAAGTTTTGCACTGATTCATCTTTTTTGAATCAGTGTTGTTGATTATCCTGCAAATCATATGAGCCCTATTGAATATGGTTCATGAGGAAAGGGTGTCAGTGATTGCTATAGCCAGGGGCCTCGCCAGGAATTTGGGGCCCCATGAAAGGTATTTGAATTATTGTATCGAGGTTTGGGGAAACAATTTTAAGACCAATCTTCAGCCCCTGGTTACGCTGCAAAAAAGAGCCATTCGAATTGTTCATAAAGTAAATTATTTACATCCCACAAATGTATTGTTTTTACAATCCTGCAATTTAAAATAGTTTGATCTTGTGAACTTAAGAACCGCGCAAATAATGTTCAGAGCATCAACTGGCTCTCTTCCAGAAAATCTGTTAAAACTCTTTCAGGAGCGGGACGCCAACCAAAAGTAAGAACTACCTTAAAATCAATGTGCATCTCAAGTCATGGTGTCACCCTCTGGAATAATTTAACAGAGGAACACAAGTGTTGTAAAAATATTAACCGTTTCAAAAAATATTTAAGCGGGATGTCCTGAGAAAATACCTGGAAGAGAGTGAGAGATGTTCTATGAGGGTGGTGTGATGTAGGGAGGGGGTTGCAGGGACGGGGAGCGTTGGGCCAGTGTGTTGTCTTGTATGCATGAGTGTGAATGAGTTGTTTGTCTTGTCTTTGCCTTTTCGTTTGCAGGAGTGTCCTGGGGATGAGCGGGAGGGGATTGGACATGTATAAGCTTTTGTTTCTTCCATCCCCTTTTCAAGCCATGCATGTATTGTTTGTCATTATATGTATTGTAAAATGTGTGCAGGTTTGAAATAAACTTTTTGAAATGAAAAAAAAAAAAGGCATTGATATTGATTCCTTTACATTTTCAATGTAATTGTTACTGTAAAATTTCTACAATAAAAAATAACAGACTGCAAAAAAGTTAAATATACATTCACTTTAAGCTTTACATTAAAACCGTTCTATCAAAATAATAACCGCTTATATAAAACAAAGAAAAACACAGCTGTATATCTGTGCACATTAATAGAAAATAGGTTTTGGATTGTGGAAGATATATTCCTATTAGGTTTTGCTATAATTTGATAAAGGACAGATTATTTTTAAGCTGGCCCTGAGAATTTATATTTCATCCATGTATACATGTAATAACAAAACATGTATTTTTGGTGCAGCTGCTGAGAATGACCAAGATTTACAGATTTTATTGTCTTTTATGGTTGGAATTACTGTAGATATGAATATAAAAATCTAACTAAACTGTTTTAATACTGACACAGATTTTAATACAGGCTGCAGGAGGAAGCCTGTTTACTGCTGAAAACAAGGGAGAACACAAAGATTAATAATTTTACTGCTGGATTTTCTTTTTATATTTGAAACATATAGTGGGACGTAGATTTTCTTTTGCTTTTGAGGCCCCCTTCAGTCAAGGGTCCTTATAATTTTCGTAACTCCCTCCCCATAAAGCGCTCCTGGTTATAGCTCCTGAGCGTACATTTATACCACGGGTCCAAAACTCGGAGCAGCTTGTATGAAGCCATGAAGCCAGGGAAGTAATTTCCCTCTGGGATTATTAAAGTATTTCTGATTCTGATGTTTGGAGTGGATGATCTGATATTTGCTGCATAAACATGGACTCCTTTTAATGCTTGTTAGTCTGTATGTTGAGAGTCTCCTGCAGCAATAAGAAATCCAACTTTCAGCACAATTAATAAATTTTTTTTCAGTACAAGGTAGCTTTTGGAAGTTTTCCAGTGCTGTGCTGTAAGCCAGGGACACAGTGTACCTACCTGTACAGACAGGTAGGTACACAAGTACACTTGTAATAGGCCACAAGAGACCAAATCTGCAAATCTAGATTTCCCAGCTCCTGCCTAAATATATAGATAAAGAAAGCTTTTCTGAATTTAAGGTGGTATTCTGATGCTGGAGATACCATCCATGCATCATGATCTATTTTTGCCCTAATTTAGTACATATTAAAGCACATTTTTAATACTTTTCCAGGAGTATCAAGTACCTACTGAAGTATTCTTACATCTTCTTTCATTGGTAAAACTTGAAATAAAATCGCTAAAGGTTTTAATCTTTAGTTAGATAAAGAACAACCTAAATGTTGCATGAAATGTTTGGTAATTTACAGAAAGCGTCAGGCTGTGGTTCAGTCCTGGATGTTGAAGGCTCTCTCAAATTCCCTGTCAAACAGCTGCTTCAGGTTTTTGCTCATTTCAAGGTATTCTGGATTGTTCTATAAGAGAGAACAGAAGTTTATTAGGTTAATAGGTCACAAATAAGAAAAATGTGGTATTTAAAGAACAACCAAAAAAAAAAAAAACTGTTAAGAAAAGGGCTGCCTTATTTTTTTTTATTAACTAAAATGTTAAAACATTGGAGATTTTTTTTATTTTTATTTGGGATTTATTTTGTACAGCAGCCCTAAATTTTCCTCAACTGAACATATACTAAGGGTTGTGCGCCTCCTTAAATAAAAAATAAGAGCTTTATTAAAATTAAAAAGTCAACTTTTCTTCTGGCTAATTTTTTTTAGAAAAGTATTGCAAATAACACCTGAAGTCTGACCTTTCACCCAAAAAACTACTTTACTTCAAAATCTCTTAAAAACATCCTTGATGTCCTTTGCTTTCCTTTATTTCTTTTGCCATTAGTGGCCTTTATTTTAAAGTATGCCGAGAGCAACTGGAGCTGAGATTGGACCTATTATGGTAAAAAATTTTGCTAGATAATAAATTCTCCCAGAAATAACTGCGATTAGCGATAGAATTATTGCTGGGTTTAAATCTAAAGTGTCTCTACACTGCAGCTGTCACGTTCAGCTTTGAAAGCATTTTCATTTCTGCTTTTCTCTGGCTTTCTGCTCCTCAGTCATCAGGCTCTCATGCTGCAATTGTGGCTGGCTAGTGTTAAGTCACCTGACTTCCACACAGGAGGTCCTGGATTTGCTTAGACCCTTCCTGTTAAAGCCTACTTTGTAAGTCACTTTGCAAGAATAAATCTATAAACTAGGGATGCACGATATAATCGGCCCCCTATCGGTATCGGCCTGTATCGGCCTTAAAACTGAATATCGGACATTGGCCACCCCACCGATATTTAATCAGCTTCTGAGTTCCTAAAGTAAAAAAAAAATAAAAAAATACTACTTCTTCTTCCTCAAAAACTTCTTTTTACAGACTTAAAAACTTCTAAAGACGAGGGAAAAAATATTGATACATTAAAATATCACAATATCTTCATATGCTGATATATTGCCATTTAAAAACACCATATCAATCTCTTTTACTAATGAAATATTGCTATATGTCATCGTTATGCTACGAAATCCCCCGAAAATTCACAAAATTTTGCCATATTTTTATATGTTGATATATTGACGCGGTATCGATCTATTTTACTAACAAAATCTCACAAGAATTTGCAAAATATCACGAGAGTTTGTAACAGAACGATGAAATTTCACTAGATTTTGAAAGTAAAATAGATCGATACCGCGTTTTAAAAAATAATTTTGATATCAGCATATGAAAATATATTTGAGTATATTATTTTTCAAAGTGTCAGAAATGGATAACAAAACTGCTATTTTCAATGACTACTTATTTTTGTCCAGCTTTAACATCGGTATCGGTTATCGGCTACATGAGTTTTAAAATATCGGCATATCGGATATCGGCCAAAATCCCAATATCGTGCATCCCTACTATAAACATAAATATAAAGCCGGGCTTCTATCATCACACCTGGTCAAGGTTAGCTTTATAACGCAAAAGTTACTTTTACTAGTAACTAGTTACTTTTATTGTGGAGTAACTCAGTTACTAACTCAGTTACTTTTTGGGAGAAGTAACTAGTAACTATAACTAATTACTTTTTCAAAGTAACGTGCCCAACACTGGTTATTGTTAAGTGATAGGCCTAGTTGAGTGAGAAGATAAATGGCAAAGGTCGTTAGGCTGCTTCGAGGAAAGATGCTAGTAAACTTGGGCCAGGCATTTATAAATTAATTTAAACAACCTCTTATCCAACAAACACAGCTTTCTAGGCATAATTTTAAAAGTAGCATCTAATCAGAATGTCTTTCAAAACAGAAAAGGTTCCTGCACATGAATTCTTTTGTTGGGACGTTCATTAAGATAAAAAATAAAGATACATAAGAGTTGACATTTAAATCATAAACTAAAGCATGTCTTTTTTACATAATTCATTGATCATATTTTTGAAACCTTGAACAATCAATCAAACAACGACACATTTTCTTACCCTGTTGTATGTAGCAGAGTTGCTAAAAATGAGCTGAACATCAGACACAAACTCGCTGACCGTCTGGTATTCTTCCCTCTTGAGTTTATCTGCGATCTTGTCCAGCCACATTGGAGTTTTGATAATACTGGAATAATTTGATAACTGTGGGTTTCAAACACAATTTGAGTTTAAATTTCAATATTTCTGAAATGACAACATTTTCACAACGGGTGTTGAAAATGGAATGTTTAACCAAGCAGCTATAATTTTTTTGCATTGAATTAGACAAGAATAATGACTTACATACTGCCCAGGGTCGGTGGCAAATATCTGCTCCTCATCAGCACTGCACAGATAGAGGAGGAGATACTGGCATTCCTGTCCGCAGGAACAACAGATGGTTGGTTGCAGCAGCGTTCATCAGTGAACAGCGTTAAAATAAACAGATGTTCGGACAGGAACGGAGAAAGAGATGCTCACCAGCAGTTGTTGAGATATCAGACGGGACATGACGGCTTGGGCTCTCTGCTTGTCTGGGTAGCGACACTCTTCTATGGCTTTAAAAATGCAGAAGGTGCACATCCACTGACCGTCGTCCCTGCATGTAGAATAACTCCAAATATTAAGGGGATTTAAACTTTTTTATACCTCCAATATTTCAACAGGATTACAGAAATAATCAGCTGTCTTCCAACACAAATTAACTGTAGAATAGATGTTGGTATATTACATAAATGTTAGGATAATACCAATAATATAAAAAAGAACTAAAATCTGAGACTTGCAGATAGTTTTGGCGTCTTAAAATATGCTTCTCCTATGACACTAAATACTACAAGTACTTAATTTAACACTGCGTATATAGATAGTTCAATTCAATTCAGTTTATTTCTATAGCGCCAATTAACAACACAAGTCATCTCAAGGCACTTTACAGTTCCACCACTTGAACTTTAAAGTGTAATCCTGTTTTTATTCCTCTTGTATTGTAAAAAATAGGGCACACTTGGGAATTTGAAAAAAAAAAGTTCAAAATTTGAGGAAGTGAAATATTAGTTGCAGAGGTGAGTGATCATCAGCGCAGACAGAGCATCTGCACGGTGCAGCATGAGATTGCTTATGTTGCATACATTATTTGCATTATTTATTTAATTTCTATGCATACTATAAGTCTAGTATGCATATCACCTGTTTAGCCGCTTTGACTTAAAGGTGTATATCTCAGTATATCAGAGATATGATTGATCCTGTCTACTTTTAAGGGTAGGCTTAAAACGATCCTTTTTGATAAAGCTTATAGTTAGAGTGGCTCAGGTTATCCTGAACTATCTCTATAGTTATGCTGCTATAGGCTTAGACTTCTGGAGGACACAGGGACTAGGGATGGGGATCGCTAATATTTATTGATATCGATACCTTTATTGATACTCCTTATCGATCCGAGTCTTTATCGATACCACTATCGATACTTTTCTGTTATTTGGTGGAAAG